TATAAGCCAGCACCAGCCCTCTGCCAGTGGAGGCCGCGTGGTCCTCAGGGTCACCCATTTCCAGCTGCCTTTCACATGACCTCAAGGCCCTGCCTGTCACCTGAGGCCTGGTTTCTCATCTCAGACACATTCTCAAACACTCCAAGAGTCTTTTCCTGCCTGCGTTTGTCAGCTCTCCCTTGCTATGACAAAATGACTGAGATAAACAACTTAAAAAGAGAAAGATTTGGGTTTTGCTCTCAGTTTCAGAGGTTTTAGGCAATAATCACTTGATCCCATCATTTAAGACCTAACTGGGGGGAGAACATCATGGCTAGGAGTGTGTGGTGCAGAAGGAGGCTCACCCTATAGCAGCCAAGAAGCAGGGACACAGAGACAGAGAGGAATGAACCAGGGTCCTAATACCACTTTCTTTCTTTCGTTTTCTTCCTTTCTTTCTCTTATTTTCTTTCTTTATTCTTTCTTTCTCTCTTCCTTTCTTTCTTTTTCCTTCCTTCATTTATTTCTAGATCAACAGGCAAATGGATAATGAAAATTTGAGAACATATATTTACATATATTATCAAATAGACATATTTGAATATATAGCAGATATATTTTATATGTATAATAGAACACTAGTCAGCTCTAAAGAAAGATGAAATTTAAAAACTGGCAGGAAAATGTATGAACTTAGAATATATACTATTAAAAAAAGAATATATACTATTAAATGAGGTCACACAATCTCAGAAAAAAAACACAACATGTACTCTCTCATACTGGGGAATCTGGCCAATCATGTATGTATACTTGTAAACAGATGTACACATGGGGTCAGTAAAACATGTAGAAATGAGAGCAAGGAAGAGTAAATATTCGGGATGAAGAGGGACTGGCTGTGGGTAACAGACATGAGTTATGAAAGAGAATACACAGTTAACTGCTTTCCTAGTTCTAATTCTGTCCTGGGCTTTTTGGGTTTGGTGGCGGATAAGTGCATAGAATGTATTCCATACTGAAGGTGTAAAATTCAATGTGAAAACGTCACAGCTTCCATTCTGGATGCCAGTTCTGACTTATAGAAGTTCACAGGTTGTACAGACTTTGGGTCTGGTTAATTTTAGCAGGTTATGCTTTTTATTTACAAGTTTTTTAAACAATAAGTTTATAAAATTAATTTTTAAAAAAGAGCCATCTTAAAAATCACACACCTTGCCGGGTGTTGGTGGCGCACACCTTTAATCCCAGCACTTGGGAGGCAGAGGCAGGCAGATCTCTGTGAGTTCGAGGCCAGCCTGGTCTACAGAGTGAGTTCTAGGACAGCCTCCAAAACAATACAGAGAAACTCTGTCTCAAAAAAAAATCACACACCTCAATGTTCAAACTCCTAAGTATTCCACCACATTCTAGGGCCACCAGCTGGAGACCAAGTCGTCAACACATGGACCTGCAAGGGACATGTAAGATCCAAACCATATCACTGTCCCAATTCTTAAAGGGCTCCAAAGTGCCATTGCATCCCCACCCTACTTCCCAAGGCTGGAAACATTCATATTCACCTCACACAGTAGAAGATGCAAAACTTCCCGTGTCTGGATCAGTGGTTCTTAACCTTCCTAATGTTGGCCCTTTAATACAGTTCCTCATGTTGTGGTGACCCCCAATTATAAAATTATTTTTGTTGCTGCTTCGTAACTGTGATCTGGCTACTGTTACAAATCATAATGTAAATATTTGTGTTTTCTGATGGTCTTAGGTGACCTTCGTGAAAGGGCCATTTGACCCCCTAGGGGTCATGACCCACAGATTGAGAACCACTGGTCCAGATGGAACTAAGAGCTGTATGGTGTCTTGACAGAGATCTGTACTAGTAAGCACAGCCAAAGCCAACACCATTTCCCAGCCATAGACTCTTGTGTACGTAGTCTAATCTCTCTGGGCCTTGGTTTTCCCATCTGTAAAATGGGGAGAGCCATTAGGGTTATATAAAATGGAAAGTAGAGTAGATACCTAAAAGTTACTGTTGATTATTAACATCAGATATAGAATGAAATACCTGAGGCAGCCATTTAGTCCCAAATAAACACACAGAGGTTTATATTAATTATAACCTGTTTGGCCTATTGCTCAGGCTTATTACTAACTAACTATTACAACTTAAATTCACCCATAGTTCTTATCTATGTTTAGCCACATGGCATGGTACCTTTTCTCAGTAAGGCATTCTCATCTTGCTTCTTCTGCATCTGGCTGGTGACTCCTTGTCTGCCTTCCTTTTCCCAGAATTCTCTTAGTCTGGTAGTCCTGCCTATAGGTCCTGCCTGGCTACTGGACAATCAACATTTTATTAAACAAATATGAGTGACAAATCTTTACAGTGGACAAAAGCATTATCCCACATCAACCTCCTGCCAGCTGCTGGTAGGCAACAGAGGGGGAGAGATCACATCGTGAAATAGGACTCCAGAGAGCCTTCAAGAAAATAACTTAAATCCTTTGCAAATGCAGCCCTCAATGACTTAAAGCCCTCCCACTAAGCCCCGCCTCTTAAAGAGCTCACTGCTCCCCCACACTTACGCTAAAGAGTGAGCTTTGCCATGTAGCCCAGGCCAGTAAAAACTCACAACCTTGCCTTCTCTTCTTCCCAAGTCCTCGGACTGCAGGCAAATACCACTCACTGTGTTCAGCACCCAACATCAACCCTTGAAGGATACACTCAACCATACCCAAGCCTTGGCGTCTGTTCAAGCCTCTGGTATCTGCCTGGCTCCAGTCCCAGGAAGTCCTGTCCTTTTCCTCCCTGGCCTCAGTTTCACCCTTTTTCTTGTGTGTTATCCTCATACCAGCTGGTTGAATGGGATCCCCCCCCAAAATATGTTGAAGTCTGACTTCCTGGTGCCTGTGAATGTGACACTATTTGAAATAGTGAGTTATTATTTGTTGCTTTATTTTTGTTTACTTTTGTAAAATTAGTTTCATTTTTTTTATGCATGGGTGTTTTCCTGCATGTACATCTATGCCCTGTAAGTGTGCCTGGTGCCCAAGAATGCCACAAGAGGCATTGGATCTCCTGGACCTGGGGCCGCTGACAGTCGTGAGCCACCAATATGGGTTCTGAGGATTGAACCTGGGTCTCCGGGAGAGCAGCCAGTGCTCTTAACCAGTGAGTCATCTCTCCAGCACCATTTACTACTTTTTTATTTGTTTCTCTGTGTAGCCTTGGCTGTCCTGGAACTAACTCTGTAGACCACACTGGCCTCGAACTCACAGAGACCCCCCCTCCCTCTGCCTCCAGAGTACTGGGATTAAAGGTGTGCGCCACCACCGCACGGCCCCATTTACTTTTTATTTTGTGATTAAAGTCTCACTAATTTCCCCAGGCTGGTTTCGAATTCACTCTGCAGTGACCCAGACAGGTCTTAGTCCTCCTGCCTCAGCATCTGGAGTGGCTGGGAACACAGGCCAAAGAGGAGACAACTGTCTTGGATCAGAAGGTAGGACCCTAGGAGACGAGCCATGGCAGGGGAGGACCGGTGCCTGAGAAAGTCTGCACAAGGACCTCCCTGGCTCCTCCACTTCCCACTGCTGAGTGTGGCTCCTGAGTGAGGCCCAGCAGGGATCAGGGGCTCCGGAGGGATCAGGCAACTGGTCTAGACAGTGAGGAGAACAGAAAGGAGGAGGGCGCACAGGGGTCCTGAGTGGTGACGGATCTATCAGGCAAGCAGAGGTGCGGCTCTGCCAGTCTGGACCTGGTCTCGTGTTCCGAGATCACTCTCAGGCTGTCAGACTGCGTCCTGATTTCTGAAAGGAAAAATATGTCGCCTGCTGTATCAGTTAGGGTCTCAGTGGGAAACAGATGGCACACTGAAATTGGGTGATTTAAGGAGAGCTTGTGAAAGGTCTATTTACAAAGGTGTGGGGAGCTGCAGTTCCCACAGGCTTGTAGAGAGCAGGAGGGGGCTGTTACTATGTAATCTCCCTAGAGCCCAGGACCAAGAGGAACCCGAGAGAGCCTGGTGATTGACTGGAAACCTTTGCTCAGCCAACAGGGATGAACACCAGAAATAAACACCCAACCTCACTCTCCTCCCTCCCACCTGCTGGGCTCCCATTGGCTGAATACTCACAGGAAGCCAGAAGGCAATAGAGCCTACCTTTAGGGTCCCTGCAGGTCGGTCCGCACTGGAAGGGAACGGAGTGGGCTGGACAAGGTCAGAGAATGGGTCAGCGGGAGGAACAAACATAAGACTTAAGAAGTGAGCCTCGATGTAGGGACCCCTTCTTCAAGACAATGCCATACCAGAACAGAAAGGAAGTAGACTCGTGGGGGGCACCAGAAGGCTCAGACATCCCAGACAGGTTCCTGCGTGTGTGTCGGGAAGGGAGGGTGTGATGTGGGGAACTAGAAACACTTCTCATGGGTGTCACGGTCACCCCCACTCTGCTCCCCGCCAGTGCCTGATTTCTCTCAGGCAGCAAAGTGGCAGTGCTCCTGGTTGGAAAAGATTGGTGATGAGTTCATGTGATTAGGAGGGAGAGGATGGGAGTCAGGGAAAAGAGAGAAAACACAGCGGTAGGTCAGAGGCTCCCAGGCTCTAGGGACAGCTGGGAAACCAGGCAGATAGACTAAGGACTCCCCCCCACCCACCCACTGACCCCTGCCCTCTTTCATGTCCCATCAAGTCCAATTGAGTCAAAGGTGCTGATAGATCTCTGGGAAAGATAGATGGAGTAATCAGAGTAAATGAAATTAACATGCACAGGGTAATCAACACTCATTAAGCCAATTTAGTCAAGTGATGACCTCAGTCAGCTTTTATTTAATCATATACTTAAATGTCAAATCAATATGCAAATCTCACCCAGGCCTTTTCCAATTATAACCCATTAAAACTTTCAAGTAAATCAATGCAGCCGGGCAGGGTGGGAGGGTGTAGAGAGAAGAAACCAGGAGCCAGGCAATCGGACAATGGGCCTTTGTCATCTACCGCTCCCAGTGGGCCTTGGTCATCCACAGTTCTCCTCCCGGCTCCACCACGGAATATTCAGCTGACCCTCCGAGTTCCTCCTCTCACCCCTGCCACAGCACTAAAGGAGAGCAGAGAACTGGCTCATCCCCACAAACCTCCTCATCGAGACCTTTCTGTTGCTGCTGCAGGGTCCCCGCACTGCATATATTCAGTGATGCTGTGCCCAGTGTCCTGGAGCCATCGAACCACCTGAAGAGGACATTCATAGCCCAGCTCACAAATAACCCAAGGAAGCTCAGGGAATCCGACGAAAATGGGTGTGGTGGCTCTGACCAGCAATCCCAGCTGTCTGAGGCAGGAGGATTGTAAGTTCAAGACCTGGCTGGGCACCACCAGACTGACTTCAAGGCTAGCTTGGGCAACCAGGTGAGACCCTGTCTCAGAATAAAAAATAAAAAGAAGCCGGGGGTGTAGTTCAGTGGTAGAGCTCTTGCCTAGTACTCTGAAGCCCTAGACCCGCTCCCCAGCCCGTTAGAAAGTATCAAGCCAGGTGTTCCTTCTGCAGTAATCTCACGTTGACCAATCAAGCAGGGTCAGAGCACATGGATGCTGTCCCTGAGGCTGCACGGTGAGTTTGGGAATGTATACCAGGTCTTTTGAATCAAAGACGTCAAAGCCCAAAGGTTATGCCTGTCCAGAGGAGCCCAAGACATAACTCACACAGGCCTTTCCCCACCCTCAGTCCTGGGGATAGGAGTCTGCCTTCCTGCAGCCAAGGTCCAGCCTCAGGCTGGCGCAACTAAAATGAAGGAGCCTTTTGGAGCCTGCTTCCCAGGCAGCTGTGAGCTGTCAGGTGAAGCCTAGAAGTTTCTGCATGTTATAGTAGCTGACCCAGATTGTGGTAATTGACTTACATATGGCACTGGGGTGTCAGGTGAGTAGCTGATGGAAAATGACTGGGCCTATCAATGACCATGTTGTGAAAGAGCCAACGCTGACAGCTCTGATAGTTTTAGGGCCGCCTGCACAGCCCTGATTACCCATGAAGGGTTGGAACAAGGAGGCCCCAGAATGAGTGAGGCATGAAGATCTGAATATACAACTCTACACATGCCAGTGCCCCTGGCCCAGGGCTGCAATCATCCATTATACAAAGGTCCCAGCCCATGGTCCTAGGTAAGTCAGAAACAGCCTGACCTTGGTCCCAGAGGGCCACAGAGCATGGTGACAATGGGGCCTGGTCTGTCTAGCACCAGGGTCAGTCCTGAAAGTCTATGAATCAAGGGCCCTTCAGTTCTAGGTAAACACAGATGGCTGGTCCTCTGGAGATGAACTGGAGGTGGCCTTGGATGAGGACAGCAGCCTCCCATCTTCCCTCCTGAGGAGTTCACAGCCTAAGTGCCAGGAATGAAAGGAAGGCTCACTGAGCTGGGAACACTGGGGCATGCTCTCTCATGTGATCACTGTTAGATTTTGTTTTTTTATGTGTATAAGTCTTTTGCCTACATGCATGTGTGGGTACCACATCCGTGCCTGGTGCCCACAGAGATCATAAGAAGGCACTGGGTCACCTAGAACTACAGTGACTGACAGTTCTGAGCTGCCATGTGGGTGCCAGGAGCTGAACCAGGGTCCTCTGCAAAAACAAGAAGTGCTCTTAACCACTGAGCATCTCTCCAGCCCCTCATCTAAACTTTGGACAACCCTAGCAGTCAAGAAGCCAAAGCTGAGACAGACAGGATAATGAACTGGTGAGAATGGATGGTTTCTGGACAGACTTTCCAGAATGTCACCACTAGGGAAGCACAGGGGAGAGGCGTCTAGGGGCCTGGCTGCGCCAGAATGAGCAAAACAAACCACAGTCTGTCCTGTGGGGAAAGGTGGCTTTGAAAGCAGTTTCTTCATAGACGGTTGCCAGTCTTCCACCAGGGCTTCAGAAGAGAATGGGAGAGACAGGCAGCACCTGGGGATTCCTAGGAAGGAACAGTGGGTGGGGCTGGGTTCCCATGGGGATTCCTATGATGGCAGGATCAAAAGGGGTCTTTTTAGTATACTTTTTAAGCTGTGTTTTACAAAGCGAAGACATTGCGCTTCCTGCAGGTTCCCCACCCTCTTCTCTCCAGAATTTCCTAGACTTTATTGCCCTCCTGATGGGAATTCTCTGAGGTCTGCTTGTCCCTTTGTGGCCTGGCCAGCTCCCTTGGTGACTCTTATTTCTTCTGCTTCCCCAGGAGTGACTGACTTATTGGGAAGTCTATCCAGCCAAACAGCACCGGCCAGGGCAGAGTTGCAGCCCCATAGGAACCTCTGAAGCTCGAGTGGCCTGGCTGCCAAAAAAGCCAACAGGATCAGATGGCAAAGAAAGAAGTTTAGACGACATCTCCAGACTCCAAAGAATTCTCGTGAGACAGGAGAATGCCCAAGGAATCCTGGAGAGTCAGGTGGGGAGCACCTGCCAGCAAGCATCTCTGTTCTGTAAAGAGGGAAGGTGTGGTGAGAGGATTCAATTCTTGGGCTCAAATCACACTTTCGGGATCCCCTCTCAGTCCTCTTTCTGGCAAGGGAACCCTGAAGGTTTAAAGCAACCTTTCAGGCTCTCCTAGTGGACAAGAGCTCAAGAGGCAGGTGGGCCACGGGTGGCTCAGACACAGCGGCTAGTGACCTGGTGATAAGAACAACAAGCTTTGCTGACAGCCTGGGTCCTGGGTGTCCAGGCCATGTCAGGAAACAGATGAGCCAAGACTGAAGGCTGACACCCTCATATGACTCAGCCCTTGGCCTGCCCACGCCTAGGCCACCCTTCTCACTCTGTAATGCACCTGCTACATGCCAGGCATGCCTCTTGGCCCCCACCTACAGTCATGCAAGGGGAAGCAGCCAAGGCTACTGTCTTCCTGGTATTAGAAGGTACTGTGTAGTTTGAACTCTGTCCACACAACTCTCAGCAGGCCCCAGGAATTTAAATGTTCCAAGTTCACTGAAGCCTCTGAGTGTGGATCTCCAACCCAGACCTCTCTCTTCTTTGCTGCCTGTACACATTCTCAATGGCCTCCCTCATGTCTGTGCATTTAACTAGAAAGTATCTGAAGCCCAGCATCCCTGAAACAAAATGAGTCCATACAGCCCCCCTCTGCAAAGGCTGTTTCTACTCCTCACCCAGCTTCCAGGCAAAAACCTGGAAGTCACCCTGTGTTCCCTTCACTGCACACAGGCATGTGGCTCAGCCTAATCCATTGCCAAGGCCTTCTGGACTCAATGGGAAAAAGGGGGCAGGGCAGGGCAGGGCAGGGCAGGGCAGGGCAGGGTAGGGCAGGGCAGGGCAGGGCAGGGCAGGGTAGGGCAGGGCAGGGCAGGGCAGGCAGTAATGGTGCACGCCTTTAATCCCAGCACTTGGGAGGCAGAGGCAGGTGGATCTCAGAGTTTGAGGCCAGCCTAGTCTACAAAGTGAGTTCCAGGACAGCCAGGGCTATACAGAGAAATCCTGTCTCAAAAGCAAAAAAAAAAAAAAAGGGAGCAGGAAGCACATATCCCAGCTAGGCCACTTCCTCCAGCCATTCACCTGCCCAGCCCCTTTTCTGGACATCCTTGTAAGAGTTGCTGTCATATACCCAAAAGATGCACATTCATGCAACAAGAATGTCTGTTCCACTATGTTCATAGCAGCATTATTTATTATAATCAGAACCTGAAAGCAACCTAGATGCTCCTCAACTGAAGAGTGGATAGAGAAAATGTGGTTCATTTACACAATGGAGTACTACTCAGCGGAAAAAAACGATGAAATCTTGAAATTTGCAGGCAAATGGATGGCACTAGAAGAAACCATCCTGAGTGAGGTAACCCAGTCACAAAAAGAGAAACATGGTATGTACTCACTCATTTATGGATTTTAGACATGAATCAGGAGAGTGCCAGCATACAATCCCACTGCCAGAGAGTCTGGGAAATAGAACCTTCATACAGCAACTGATACCCACAGACAAACACTGAACTGAACTCCTGGAATCTAGTGTCAGAAAGGGAGAACGGATGGGAAAAGGAGTTAAGAGTGGGCTGGTTTAACCCACAGAAACAGTTGATCTAACAAGGGGGAGCTCTTGGACCCCAGATTGATGGCTGTGTGGAAAGCATGGGACTGACCCAGACCCCCTGAATGTGTATGTCAGAGAGGAGGCCTGGGTAATCTGTGGGGCCTTGGGTAGTATTTATCCCTGGCGCACAAATAGACTTTGAGTGCCCATGCCACAATATGGGATTCTCTCTCATCTGGGACTCTTGTGGGAGGGCCTAGGCCCTGTCCTGGATGAAATGACAGTCACTGGAGATCCACCATGGAGGGCCTCACCCTCCCTGGGGATCGGAGTGGAGATTGGGTGGGGGACTGGGGGACCTGGTGGGAAGGGCAGGGGAGGGGGGGAGAGGGAGCTGGGATTGACATGTGAAACAAGCTTGTGGTCATGGCATCTCTTCACACAATAAAACTCTGAGACAGAAGTTGGTACCAGGAGTGGGGTATTGTTGTGATAGGCCAGACCATGATTTTGTTTGGAGATTATGGACTTTGGGACTTTGGATTAGGAAAGCAATTTAATTCTTTAAGTAGGGCTTAATAGGCCATGCTAGTAGGAACATGGAAAAGATGGTGCTGAAGGTAATATGAACTATAGGGGCTCAGGTCAAGAGGTTTGAGAGGAGAAGAATTTTAGTATATGGCCTACAAACTTTTCTTGTGATACTTTGGCAAAGAATGAGACTGCTTTTTGCCCTTGTCTAAAAAGTCTTCCTGAGGCTAAACTGAAGAGTTTTGGATTAATTGCACTGGTACAGGAAATCTCAAAACAGGCCAGCATTAACTCTGTCATATGGTTATTAAAGTTCACTCTTAGTCAGATCTATAATGAAAAGGAGCAAGCTGAGAAAGGACAAATACAAAATGTACATTTTGAGAAGAAAAGGGACACCAGGAAATGTAAAAGAGCTAAGTCTTGTGTTCAAGGAGATAAACAGATTAAAGAAAAACCTAATGTTAGATTAAATAAAGGGAGTGATGACTGCAGGGCAAGACCCCATCCAGCTAAGCTTACAACTTGTGAAAGGAATTAAAGAAAATCTTAGGGTCCAGAGGCAGAGCCAGGCATATCTCTGAGTTTGCAGCCAGCCTGGTCTACAGAGTGAGTTCTAGGACAACTGAGCTTTGGCAGTGAAGGAAATCATCAAAACCAGAAAGCTGATGAAAATCTATTTTATGAGGACACCATGTTCCAGCCCCAGCAAGCAGAACCATTTGGCAATTTCAGCCATTTGGTTCTGGCATTAGAGTCAAGGATACAAGAAGTTACATTATCTCCCTCCATGACTAAGGAAAGCAGCTGAGGCCAGGTGTGTGTCAGGGGGGTTCCTGCATGAAGGCCTAGAGAGACCATTGTGTGAAGCTTTGATTGCCTTAGAGACCCTAAAATGTTAGAGATGTCAGAGCTATTGGGATATCTGCTGAGGAGAGCTGCTAACAGGGAGTGGAACTAGCCCAAGAGAAAGATGTGTGTTACAGTCAACAAAGCTGAACGGAGTTGGAGATCTGAAGAGTACTTTCATATCAGACACAGAGTTTGGAGTTTGCCCATCTGCTCTTCAGTCTTGCTTTAGTACAGTATTTCCTCACTATACTCCCTTTCCTCCCTTTTAGAATGGTAATGTATATTCTGTGTCATTGTATGTTGGAAGTATGTGATCTGCTTCTTTATTTTGATTGTATAGGTGATTACAATTAAGACAGTGCCATGAGTCTCAGAAGAGATTTTGGACTTTTAACTGGGGTTGAGACAGTGAGAGACTATTGGGACTTTTAAAGTTGGACTTAATGCATTTCTGCATTGTGATGTAGCTACAAGCCTGTGGGGGTCAGGAAGTAGAGTGTTGTGGTTTGAATGAGAATGCCCCCCCATAGACCCAAAGGGAGTGGCCTATTAGAAGAAGTGGCCTTGTTGGAGGAAGTGTGTCACTGCAGGTGGGCTTTGAGGTCTCAGATGCTCAAGCCAAGCCCAGGGTCTCTCTTTCTCTTCCTGCTGCCTGCCGATCTGGATTAGAACTTTCAACTACGTCTCCAGCACCATGTCTACCTGCATGACCTCATGCTTCCCAGCGTGATGATAATGTACTAAACCTCTGAAACAGTAAGCCATCCCCAACTAAATGTTTTCCTTTATAAGAGTTGTCATGCTCGTGGCATCTCTTCACAACAATAGAACACTGACTATAAGACAGAGACTTAAATATCAACTTGTTCCGTTACAGTTCTGAGGACCAGAAGTTCACAAGCAGTCCCAGCAAGCTAAGGTGAAGGTGTGTCAGCCTACTTCGTTCTGGAACTTCCAGAAGGACAGAATGTCTCCTCCCCTTCTCAGCATCTAGTGGCTGCCTGCATGCCTTGGCACACAGCCCCCTCCTCCGTGTTCAAAGAACTCTAGTGTTGTTTCTTCTGCTTGTATCACCTTCTCTGTGTCAAAGCTCCAGCCACCTTCCCCTCCCAGGAAGCCTATGAAGATATCGATTGGTTTTTCCTGGCCACGAGGAGAGAACCTCGCAAATCTCAAGATCCTTTACCTGGCCACATGGTCGATGCTGCCACAGAAGGGAAGAAACACAGGGGCTGAGATGTGGGGGAGGATCAGGCAGTCAGGACTGTCATTCTGCCCCACACAGGCAGCCCCGTGCTCTCTCCAGCCTGTCCTCCACCGGGCCAGGACTTGGTGCCCTAGGGGTGCTTGATTCACTTGATGGGTGAACACAGTGAATGAACAGAGAAAGGATGCAGTGTTGGAGCCGCCATTAGAGGCACCAGGGTCTGCAACGGGCCAGCTGAGAGGTCAGCAGTGAAAACTGAGGCTCCTGAGACTCCTTCCCCTCCACTCACCATGACAGAGAATATTCTCTGTAATAAATAAGAGATCAAACCCAGCAAGTCAGTGCAGCGCCTGAGTCAGGCAGCAGGAGCTAAAAAGGGGGAGCCTCCTCCTGGGGCTGGGACTGAGCCTGGAGGCTAAACATCCCCAGACACTCAACCTCCCACACCTTGTCCCAGCAGTGTGCTCTGTTTCCCAGTGAGCAGTCTCCCAGTCCTGCTGGTCAGAGAACCCCAGGTGCTACTCTGGGGAGTTAGCAGAAACCTGGTCTCTGCCCCCAAGGGGATACCAGGCCACACACTGGGCACCGAAATATCCTCTATCATGCGTTCCTTTCCCCATAGGGCTGTCACGCGAGCTCTGCTGGCCACAGGCTTGTGTGTTCCCAGGCTTCCACTGCCACCATCCCCCTCTGATTACTTCTTGTCCTGCCAAATATTGCTGAGAAGTTGATGCCAGGAAGGTGGGTGGAGTGGCCACTGGGAGGTAGTGGCTGATTCGAACTGAGAGGGGTTGGTAGATGGTGGAAAGGATCAGGCCACAGGCAGCTGACGATAACATGGGAGGTGAGGATCCTCAGATATAAACAAAGCAACAGGAAGAGCAGTGATTTCTGCAATCAGCTGCCACTGTCCGTGTCGGGCTGCACCATGTGCATGGCATTTTCAAACTCTTTTCATCTTTTTTATGAGCTGGTAAAGATTATTAAGCCACTTTACAGGCGAGGAAACCAAGGCACAGAGAAAGAAAGGAACTTGCCAAGATGAGCATCTGCAAACAAAGTCAGGAACTGAATCAACTGTGTCTAGACTATTACTTCTAGAAATATGACTCAAAGAGAAACCAAGGAAGTGTAGGGGAAGGGCTACATTCAAGGAACCCTGTGGATGGTAATATAATTTCCTAAGCATGTGATATATATGCAGGTGACCCTCTGCTTACAGTGGGAATTACAGCCTGTCATGGGTGGACATGATCAGAGACAGACAAAAATGTTCCTGTCCTGCTGACTGTCACAGCTTAATATGCAGACACTGCAGAACATCAGCTGTCTGCCCTCGTCAGCGTGTGGCTGCCTGGTTGCTGCACTCACAGCCGCTGGCCTGCATCAAGGAAGAAAAGCACCCTGCAAACTGCTAGGTGGGTAAAATCAAAATTCTCTACAGAAGTGTGGCTGCTACTGAATATGAATCACTTTTGCACCACCGTTAGGTTAAAAGTCAGAAGTTGAACCATTGTAGCTTAGAGTCTGTCGCTAAAGCAGCAGAGAGATGCGTTGACGGGTGGAGCTCAGGTGATAGAGAGTCAGAATCCAGGATCTGGGGGAATGGCCAGGCCCAGAAGAGAGGGGATAGGGGGTGGTGACTACACTGTGCAAATGGGTCCCACAAGTGGCTTGTCTGTTAGGTCCTCAGCAAACCATGAAATGGGTGTAGACAAAACAGCCAGGTGCATGTTGTGTGACACTACATCTGGGATATATGAACAAGTGTCTACTGGAAAGGGCACAACAACAGACCTAAGTAATTACACCATCGAAGTCCAACTTGGTGAATTCGCGAGTTCACTAGGGTTCCTCACCAAAGTATGGGTTGTTCACAGAAGCATGGATAATACAAAGGCAGCTGCATCAGCCAATCCACCCTAGCCTGGGTAACACATCATGAGAGCCACAACCCTCTGCACAACCTACAGGCAGCTCAACAGACAGCAGAATCTCCTCTCCTCAGCAGTCTTCACTACTTACATAACTATGTAGAGGGAGGCACCTTCTGGTAAGTTTCAGGGACTTCCTAAGATTTGTGAGTTGTTTATTTCCTGAGCCTTAAGGAGCCTCTCTTTACAACTACATGAGTCTTAGGGAGATTCTCTCTGTAATGGAACAATTCAATTCAGAGGAAATTGCTATGCAATGATGTGGAGAAGTCATGTGACTATTCAAAGGGCCAGAAGTAGCTGCCAGAGCTGAGACCCTAACTCCCTTATCCCACAGACACTTCTTTGATCCAAGTCAAACCCTATGTAAAGGGGATGGGTACGGGGGACTCAGAAACAGCCCTGTCCCCCAGGAGCTCACAACCTGAGCCAAGGACATGCAACCATCTTATACTATGAAGGAAGTGTGTCACCAGCAAGGGGTAGTCCCTGAAACTTACCAGAAGGTGCCTCCCTCTACATCATGTGACTGTGCCATTCACACAGCATGTTCTGCGCCTTCTGTAGAGCAACGTCTGCCCATTATCCGTCAGACCATTCCATCTTGAACGCCCAAGGCTGTGCAGCCCAAGAACAGCGGCGAGACTCAAGCCTGACTGTTAGGTCCATGCTCCTCACCATCTCCTGGGCCTCCCTTCTGTGAGCACCACTAACTTGGCAGATCTTAGAGTTTGTCACAGTTTTGTTTTGCTTTTGGTTTGGTTTGGTTTGGTTTGGGGGGGGCTTTGGGTGTTTTTTTGTTTTGGGGGGGTTGGGTTTTTTGTTTGTTTGTTTGTTTGTTTGTTTTGTTTTGCAACAGGATCTTGAAATGTAGCCCAGGCTGGCTGTGAACTCAGAGTCCCCCTGCCTCAGCCTCCCAACTAATAGAATTACAAGCATGGGTCACATGCCTCACTTTGTTGTGCTAATATCTTTTTTTAAAAGTTGTTTAAGAGTATGAGTGCTTTCCCTCATACATGTCTGGGTATCATGTGTGCTAGAGAGTTTATGTCAGCCTGATACCAACTAAAGCCATCTGAGAGGAGGGAATCTCAATTAAGAAAATTGCTCCATAAGGTCTGGCTGTAGGCAAGCCTGTAGGGCATTTTCTTAATTAGTGACGAGGGAGGGCCCAGTCTGTTGTGGGTGGTGCCATCCCTGGACTGGTAGGCCCTAGGTTCTACAACAGTGGTCTCAACCTGTGGGTCATGACACCCACGGGAGTCAATATCATATGCTGCATATCAGATGTTTACATTATGGTTCACAACAGCAGCAAAATTAGTTTTGAAGTAGCAACAAAACAACTTTACAGTTGGGGATCCCTACAACATGAGGAACTGTGTTAAAAGGTGGCAGCACTAGGAAGGTTGAGAGCCACTGGTCTAAAAGCAAGCAGGCTGAGCAAGCCATGAAGAGCAAGCCAGTGAGCAGCTCCCTCCCTCATCTCTGCTGCAGCTCCTGCCTCCAGGTTCCTGCCCTGCTTTGAGTTCCTGTCCTGATGTCCCTCGGTGATGGACTGATGCCTGAAATAAACCCTGTCCTCCCCAAATCGCTTTGGTCACAATGTGTCATCACAGCAACAGTGACCCTAACTAGGACACCATGCATATGCCTAGTGCCCTCGGGGGCCAGAAGAAGGTGTCAGATCCCTGGAACTAGAGTTACAGATGTTCGTGAGCTGCACTGTGACTGCTGGGATTCAAACCTGGGTCCTCTGGAAGGGCAGCCATTGTTAATCACTGAGCTACTTCTCCAGCCACTATTCCATTCACCTTGCAACAATATTAGGGATACAGCGGAGAAACCTCCCTGTCCAATGGACTCAAGGATAAGGGAGGGGCTTTGTGGGAGAGGTCTTGTGTGAGGAGAGTCTGCAGGAAGGGGGCATTGAGGGGAAAGCTTTTTCTCAGAAAAGGGGCTTGCAGAACCCCAAGCCTTGGGAATGGAACAACTCGTTAGAGTCACACAGGTGTGGGTTGGATTGTGGCTGCTACCCACCCACTATGTGACCTGGATCACATGGCTTCACTTCTCTGAGACTCTCTTCCCTCCTGAAGGTTGGGAACAATCAGGTGTGGGCTGATTCCCAGTACACGACCTGCATGGAGACCCAGAGTGGGACTGGGTCAAAGGTCACACAGCTAGTATCAGTGGCTGAGTTTAGATCCCAGGACTTCAGAGTGGCAGCATTTGGAGTAGTGATGGAGAAATGGGAAGTTATTACAGGCAAAAGGACCACTCGGGGGACATTCAGTGTCAACAAACAGACGCCGTCATCACTTCAGGGAAAAGAGGATTTGTTGAAATCACACACATGCACAGGTGTGACATAACAATAAAAAATTATATTTAGTCTCTATCCCCAACTCCTGGCACATCGCCCCTTAAAACTCTTGTCTCTTCAGGGTGATAAGAATGTCTTTTGTATGCTAATAAGATTGCTGGTGGCTGGGGACCCCTAAAGTGCTTCAGGAGAGGGCCTGATGAGAGAGGCTAAGGAATGGCAGCCTGTCACCCCTCTTTCCAGGGAGAGGGGAGGAGGATATGTCAGTTCACCACAGGTGACTAACACCAGAATGGGAACTGTCTGCCACTGGCCACTATCCTCCTTAACCTGCAGGAATGCGGGGGGGGGGGCAAGAGATGCCCAGAGATGCTGGAAGACTACAGCATTCAGTGAAGGTAGGAAAGCCTGGCATCCGTTTCCCCATACCTTGCCTGTGAATTTTTGTTTTTGAGACAGGGTTTCTCTGTGTATCCCTGTCTGTCCTGGAACTTGCTTATAGACCAGATCCACCTGCGCTCTACCGCCCAAGTGTGGGGTCCCACATGAGGATGAACACAGAGGCCAATGTAGTGAGCAGGCTGCCGGTGACGTGGGGAGGAAGCAGGGTGGAAAGCTAGCCAAGTGTCACAACTGGACAGGTGGACAGGCAGGCCACCGTATGGAGGAGCTAGTGAACCAGGATGTCCTCAGGGTCTGAGAGATGTCGGAGCAGTGGAACACGGCTGTCCCGGCCAAAGTCCGTGTTTCTCACGTCAGCTACCTGGGATCCTCCTGGAGCAAAATGTGAGTGGGGCCGACTGCACACAGATTAGAATGACAGGGAAAGAACGCCTGTGTGGCAAGGGAGCATGGTAGCATACTAAAGTGTCAGCTGGGAACACAGCTCTGACCGGCTGTTGGCAGAAGGGATGTCAGCAAGCCTTGACTCTACTCCCAAGGTCTAGCTAAGCAGCACCAGAAGTCACAGCCTGCACCCCATCCAGGGAGAGGTGGCCCATGGATGAGAGGGGGGCATTGAAGTAGAGCTTCTATGGCTGCCATAACACAGTACTGACAGTAGAATGACCTAAACAACAGAAATGTCTCTCCCTCCGGTTCTTGAGGCTGGAAGTGCAGATCAAGGAGCCCACAGGGCTCCTAGGGACCCTCTCTTCCTCCTTCCTTCTGTCCCCACCAGGCCAAACCTCCACAGATGTGTGCATCCCAATCTCTTCCTTCCTCCTTCCCTTTCTCCCTCCCTTCTTCCCTCCCCCTTCTTGTCTTCATGCCTTCCTACCTGATTTCCTTCCCTCCTTTTTTCTGATGGACACCAGGGCCTCCTGCACATCAGGCAAACATTCTACTGCTGAACTCTATCCCCAACCCTCCACGCTCTTGTTTTAAAGGTGGCATATTGGATTAGGGCCCACCCTAAGGACTACATTTCATGTAATTATCCCTTCAAAAGATGCTGTCTCCAAACACTGTCACATTCCAAGGGACCAGGGGTGGCAACATCAACCTACGGCACTGGTCACAGGGGACACATTCAACCCCATATAGGAGGCAATTGAGTAAATGAGATGAGAGAGCTCTTTGATGACAAGGCAGAGAAACAGATGGGCTTTCATCAAAGACTCAACCATGGAAGATTTCTCAGGGTGGGAGGCAAGATGGTAGGCAGAAATTGGTATAGTCTTAAGGCAACTCGAAGCCCCTGAGGGTGCCTAGACCCTGGAAAACAGAGAAACCCTAACTGTGAAGGCAAGAAAACTCAAGAGAAACATGGGTGGGGGGACTGACAGTGCTCATTTCGTTTGCGTTTTGAAGCAGTGTTTCACTGCAAAGGCCAAGCTGGCCTTGAGCTCATGATCCTCTTGCCTCTGTGTCTGGAGTGTTGGGATTTCAGGCACTGCCACACCCAACTCAAAGCTATGATCGCTATGATTGTAGGGCTACCTTCCAGAAGGCTCCTCAGGAGCCTGAATTCAAATTTCCCTGAAGTGGGGCTAGAATAAGATAAAGGATGGCTTCACCTTCCCCACTTTAGAAGACTTGGAAGAACATAGAGTATGAGGTGGAGCCTGATGGCACTGAACCAGGCACTGTGGTCTGTGTTGCTCTGGGCAGTGCCGTGACCTCTCGAGGCCGAGTCTCCTGTAGACACAGGTATCAAACTTCCAGGGCCTTTGTGAGATTACTGGGGACCTGTGGGGACAGTTAGGACAGAGTCGGGCTGGTGACAGAGCACAATAAGTAGAAGAACGCTGAAGTTACGGTGCTTGGTTTAGACCCTGCCTCAGCCCTGAGCCTGTGACAGGGTCTCTTGTCTGGCCATGTGCCTGAGTGCCTCGTTTTTCTCCATGAAACTCTTCACCTGACAAACTCTTATTCACTTCCTAGTGGGTGTGTCTTCTCCCCCATCTCCCCCACCATTTCACCTATCTCCCAAACGGCGGCTCTAGAGGAGCAAGGCTTTTTGTATGCTGTGCTCACCAACACCTAGAAAGATATCTCAACAGGAGTGAGTGTTTCAGAAATGCTTGTCCAGATAGCGCATGCCTATGGTCCTAGCTATGTGGGTGGCGGAGGCAGGAGAATCGTCTGAGCTGGAGAGTTCATAACAAACCCGGGTAAATAGAAAGATCTTATTTATAAAAGAAATCAATAAACAAATTTGCTATTGAAGTGAGCTGATCTGAGGGACAGATGGTGTGGGACAAGGGTATAGGATACAGCCAGCTGAAGAAGGCCACGGGGTCCTGGGGCCTCCAGAAGGTGGGGGATGGGGCTTCCCCCCTGCCTGGGCTGCCTTGGGTCAGACCAGACTATTCCAAGGAAAAGATAGGTGGAGATGGAGCGTTGAGCCTGGGTCTGAGCAGCTGTATGTGAAATGCTGATTGCTCCCCCTGCAGCCTGTCCATTTCTGACTCAGGGAACTGAGACACATCATTTCATGCCTTCTGGTTATCAGCGGATGTCACAGTATGGGGGCTGAAGGCCCAGAGCATGCCTTTGTCGTGACCCCCTAACCTGAGCTGGATAGAGTACAGTTGCCCTTCAGTATCATGTGATTGGCTCTGAGACATCCCCCGTACCATAACCCATGATGTTCAAGGGCCTTATACAAAATGGCACAGCGTCTTGTGTAACCTCCGCGTGCTTGAAACATCTCTAGATGGCTGAAAATGCCTAAGACAAAGTACACCCTACACAAATAATTGTCATACCATATAGTTTAGGGAAAGAGTCTGTCCATGTCCATTACAGATGCAAACCCTTTCTGGGTACTTCCAATCAGCAGAGGGTTGGATCTGAGGGCACAGAACCACGGCAGGTGGAGAGCCTCTGCCCAGCCCGCTGCAGCATGGCGGGAAGTGCAGGTCGCTGGCCAGCTTTCCTAAGAGCCGTCCTCAGCAGGGCTTGTGAATCCGCCCACCCTCAGTAGCTCCTCTAGAGATCCTCCAGTTTGCACAGGTCCCTCCTGCGGAGGGCTCAGAAGTGAACATTCTCCAGGAGTGTTCCAAACGGCACAGATGGAGGGGTGCACAGGACACCCTGTAGGCAGACTTTTCTGTCCTGCCTTCCAGCTCCCAAATAACCACACAGAGACTTATTAATTAGCAAAGTTTGGCCAATAGCTTAGGCTTGTTTGTAGCTACTTTTGTAACTTGGATTAACCCATTTCTATTAATCTATGTGCTGCCCCAGGCTCATTTGCCTTATAATAGGCACTGCCCATCCTCGAGACTCCACCCTTCTTCCTAGCATTTCTCTCTGATCTGAAAATCCTGCCTAGCTATTGGCCATTCATCTTTTTATTAAACCAAACTGAGTGACAAATTTTTTTGTTTTTTGGTTTTTACGAGACAGGGTTTCTCTGTATTGTTTTGGAGGCTGTCAGTCCAGCCTGACCTCGAACTCACAGAGATCCGCCTGCCTCTGCTGGGATTAAAGGCTTGCGCCACCACCACCCGGCCCTGAGTGACAAATCTTAACAGTGTACAAGGGATTATTCCACAACACCACCCTGAGACACACATGAACATGCACTTACTCAGTCCAGACATACGTACCTATACGCCCAAGTGCAGAGTTGCTGGGAAGAAAGCCAATCTTTGTGCCAGGATTCCCAAACTGGTTCATCCCTGAGCCTCAGAGAAGGCTGCAGATCTGAGGGCCCATAGACAAAGCTGGCAAAAACCAGTCTCAAGGGTCCAGGCTAGCCCTTCAGAGGTAACTTGGGCCCTGGCAGTGTCGCATCTGCAAATAGAGTCAAGCAGAGCTGGGTCAATCACAGCTGGGCCCTGGTTGCTCCACTGGAAGTCTACTGCTGTGGCAGGGCTGAAGGGCCAGTCCTCAGGAATGCCCAAGAGAAGCCAAGGCTGAGCAAGGGCCCTTGTGCTACTATGACCTTCAGACCCCGGGAGTCTAGAGATGAAATAGACGTTAGGGCTGCAGCTGGAAGCAGAGAAGGCCTGAGATGACCTTGGATCTTGAACAAGGTGACCTTGACTGAGTCTAGAAGCTAAAGAACCTGGAGCTTGTCTAGGAAGCACATATAAGCTCCCCCAAGGGCTCCAGGTGAGCTTCAAAGCCAAGGAGTAAGAACTGCTGTAATTAGCCTGAGGAATGAGTTGGTTTTTTGTTTTCTTTTGTTTGTTTTGGTTTTAGCCAATGAGATGAAAGACACCTAACCCCAACCCCAGAGTCAGGGAGCACATAGGCCAGAGTTAGGGAGGGGCACCTGAATCAGAAAGACCAAGGTCAAAACTCCACTCCCACCATGGTATGAACATTCCTTCAGAACATCAAACTTCCTGATGCCGCCACCCTTTAACATAGTTCCTTGTGTTGTGGTGACACCCAACCATAAAATTATTTTTGTTGTTATTTCATAACTTTAATTTTCTCCAGTTATGAATCATACTATAAATATGATTTTCCTCCAATAGTCTTAGATGACCCCTGTGAAAGGGTTAAGAACCACTGCTTTAGACCATCCAAACTCGTGAGCCACAGGAGTACTGGCACATCACACCCTTGAGAGCTCAGTCTCCTTTTCAGTAAATGAAAGAAGCAAGCCTTGCCTCACAATTCTCACATGCCTTACCTCACCATCTCACCACACAGTCCTCAAATGTCTCAGCTCAGGGTCTTCACATGTCTCACCTCACAGTCCTTACATGTCTCTCCTCACAGTCTCACATGTCACCTCACAGTCTCACATGTCTTACTTCACAGTCCTCACATGTCTCTCCTCACAGTCTCACATGTCTCTCCTCACAGTCTCACATGTCTCTCCTCACAGTCCTCACATGTCTCTCCTCACAGTCTCACATGTCTCTCCTCACAGTCTCACATGTCTCTCCTCACAGTCTCACATGTCTCTCCTCACAGTCTCACATGTCTCTCCTCACAGTCCTCACATGTCTCTCCTCACAGTCTCACATGTCTCTCCTCACAGTCTCACATGTCTCTCCTCACAGTCCTCACATGTCTCTCCTCACAGTCTCACATGTCTCTCCTCACAGTCCTCACATGTCTCTCCTCACAGTCTCACATGTCTCTCCTCACAGTCTCACATGTCTCTCCTCACAGTCCTCACATGTTTCTCCTCAGTCTCACATGTCTCACCTCACAGTCTCACATGTCTCTCCTCACAGTCTCACATGTCTCTCCTCACAGTCTCACATGTCTCTCCTCACAGTCTCACATGTCTCTCCTCACAGTCTCACATGTCTCTCCTCACAGTCTCACCTCACAGTCTCACCTCACAGTCTCACATGTCTCTCCTCACAGTCTCACATGTCTTACTTCACAGTCCTCACATGTCTCTCCTCACAGTCTCACATGTCTCACCTCACAGTCCTCACATGTTTCTCCTCAGTCTCACATGTCTCACCTCACAGTCTCACATGTCTCTCCTCATAGTCTCACATGTCTCACCTCACAGTCTCACATGTCTCTCCTCATAGTCTCACATGTCTCACCTCACAGTCTCACATGTCTCTCCTCACAGTCTCACATGTCTCTCCTCACATGTCCTCACAGTCTCTCCTCACAGTCTCACATGTCTTACTTCACAGTCCTCACATGTTTCTCCTCACAGTCTCACATGTCTCTCCTCACAGTCTCACATGTCTCTCCTCACCTCACATGTCTCTCCTCACAGTCTCACATGTCTCTCCTCACAGTCTCACATGTCTCTCCTCACAGTCTCACATGTCTTACCTCATGATCCTCATGTGCCTCTCCTCACCAGCCTTGTGTGACCCTAGGACAGAAGGCCATGTTCAGATGAGGGCCAGATTCTGCCCCAGTTATTCCTACAGGATGGGCTCTTATTTCTACAGCTGGTAACGCTGGAGAAGATTGGGGTCAGGGTGAAGAAAAGTCACCTGCTCTTTATCTCTGAAAACACCCGGGTCTGCCAAGAAAAGAAATGTGACCAAGGTCCATCACACCTGGCCAGAGTCTCGCAAGCATCCCGCCCACAGATGCAGCATTGGTAAGCACCATCTAAGCCTGGCCTTGGTGTGCGTGGGGAGCCCAGATGTGAGGCAGAGTGTCTTCTATAAGATCATCCTAAAGAGGAAGGAGACCCAGACTCAGTCATCCTGCAGGAGGCCCGTGAGCCATGGCCTCATAGGGTGCTCCACAGATTGGTCTATTTGCCATCACGATAACAAAGTGTCTGAGAGAATTGATTTATGGGAAGAAAGGCTGCCCATGGTTCACAGTTTGGGCAGTCTCAGTTTGTAACCCACGGTCTCTTCACTCGTCAGGTGAGGCAGGCGTGTCGTGATTGGAGGACACAGCAGAGAGAAACCACGACATCACAAAGCAAAGGCGAAGGGAGCAGCTCAGGGTGTCACAGTCCCCATCAAAGGCACCGCCTACGCAGTCCCACTTCCAAAGGTTTTTCAGCCCCTCCCAGCCCAGTAATGCCACCCTGGGGACCAGACTTCAACGCATGGGAGACATACCTACTCCTAGAAACGCGAGCTTCAGGTAAACTTATTAGAAAGTTATTTACAGTTTGCCTGAAATTCACACTGAACTGAGCATTGTGTGTTTTTATTTAGTAGCTGTAGGGTGATGGAAGCACATACCTAAGCCAGCCAGTCTCGCGTTCACATTCCCGTTCCACTTATTTCCTGCATGGCAAAAACCAAAAATCAGTCACTTAATCTCTCTGTTATCCCAACAATTGCAAAGTTCTATTTCCACCAGATTATTGTTTACGTGTATGGCTCCTTTCTGATTACTTGCTATATTTTATGTGCTTGTCTTATGTTTCTCAACAATGTAAAAATATTGAAATAGCATATCCATTAAACTGAGATAAAGCGTGCAGATGTCTCCTGGCATGGGAGCCAGCGTGTTGCAAGCACTCATTCTCTAAGGGAACACAAATAGCCCAATAGGAATCCCAAATGCTAAGACATCAAAGAAGACAGAGTCCACCTGTGGGCAGAGTCTTTGCAGACTTCATGGAGGTAGGGGTTCTGCACAGGGCAGGCTGCATCCCTTCCGCGGAGCCCCAGGGACAGCAGCACGCCCCGGGGGGTCTGAGCACTGGGACACAGATGCCCATGGTGGGACACTGATGGTGGGCCATCCTCTCTCAGCTGGCCTGGTTCTCCCACTGAAGCGTGCTCCCTGTGCCACTCTGGCCCCTTGCCTGCTAGCCTGGGCCTGCAGCCTCTGAGTCCGTGACCCTGCTAGATCCCAGATAGAGACCTGGGGGAGAACGTTTTGAACTCGTATCCGGAGAGGTCCTCAGGGACGAAGCCTGCTACGTGGGACGTTGGAGTGGGGGGGGGGCACGGGCCTCTGGGGCCCTGGGGAGCCAGGGAGGCTGCTGGACAGAGAAGAAGCAGGGTCAGCTTCTCATTGCCAGTTCAGATCAGTCAACGCGTACCGGGTGCCTCCTGTCAGAGTCCGCAAAGGCCTTGGTCCCCGGGGCCACACTTCAAATGCGAAACGCACCCCCAAGTCTCGTGTTTAAACACCCGGCCCTCTACCTGAGGGGCTGTGGAAACTACAGGGTGTGGGGCGCTGGGACAGGCCCCGGGGTTTTGTAGCGCAGCCCACTTCATGCCCACTCTACCTTCCACCCAAAGTGTCCTGGCTGCACCCTCCTGCCGCCAAGGAGCTCCTTCCTGACCACAAGGGGCAGCACCCCCAAGCTGGGCCTGTCAGGTGGCTATGCGGCAGTCTGTGGTGCTGTCGGCTGCTGAAGCGACTGGGCCTTGGGAAGGGAGTGAGTTCCCTGGGGTGGGCCACTCCCTGCCCCCACTTCCTGACTTCATGAAGTGAGCATCTTCCTCTGCCATGCTCTCCTGCCGCAGCACCTCACCTCAGGGTCAAGCAACCAGGGTCCGGAACCTCTGAGCCCATGAACCGAAGCAAGCCTTTTCTCCCTTCAAGTCGATTTTCTCAGTACACATCTTAGCAATGGAGAGTTCACCACCCCGCCTGCTAAATGCCGGGGCGTGCACTCTGAGCAGTGTCCCTGGGCCTCACCCTTTGAGCTTGGTCTATCAGAAGACAGAGCCGATGTGCAAGCAATGCCCAGTCATGACAACGCTTGCACAGTGTGACAAGGGCAGTAAGGGGGGTAGGAAGCTCGCCCTGACAGCTGCAAAGGGACACGGAGCCAAACCAGGTGACAGGAACTCGTGGGGAGCTGGGCTGCAGGGAGGCGCCCACCGACCTCGTGGGCTGGGTGGGACCCACACTAGAGCTGTAGGAGCCCTCAGTGGGATGAGGAGACAGAGTCTGGCAGTGTCCAGCTGAGAGCACGCGGCATCCTGGGAAGAAACGTGGAAGGCGGGCGGTGCCTAAGCTCAGGAAGGTCAGTTTACCCCAACACCCATGATGCTTTCTGGTGGAGGGAGCTTCCCCCAGCCCCAGGCCCTAGTGCACAGGACTGAATATGTCCAGGGGTCACACAACCCGTGACTGACAGGCTCAGTGGGCAGGCTCACACTGTCACGTGCAGAATGACTCTCAGAGCCTGCCGTGACAAAGTGGCACATGCTGCTGTATAGCTTTCTCCACCTTGTCTCTGTCCTGTCCCCAGCCCGTTTGCCAGTCACCTCTGCAATAAGCTACTTGCACTTGGATCCTGGCATTCAGATCCAGAGCTGAGTTAGGGATGGACCACCCCATCCCAGGGAGTGTGGTTGGAGGAGGCTAGACAACCTTCGCTGTGCTACCACAAAGAAGGGCTCACTCCAGCCCTGGGCAGAGAGCATCTTTTATGCTTGTAAATTCATCAAATGCTTCTAAACACCTAGCCAGAGTGGGTTTAGCTCTGCTAGGGAGGGCCTAGCTCCACACTCCCCCATGGGGCTCGTGGCTAGAGTGGGTTCAGAACGCTGGGCATTCTCTGGGCTGTGCTGATTCACAAGGACGGGATGCCAGTCACAGAGGAGGAGACGGGGCTAGCACAGTCTCAGCACCCTCGGACCTACCTGTCCTATTCCTGAGTCCTCCGAGTGTGGAGTCTCCGCTGGCAGTGAGTCGCTCTGCTCTGAGTCTGTAGGCAGTCAGAGCCTGAGCACTGGACCAATGCAGGCCAATCACTAGACAGTGACTGGCTGAGGAGAAGTCACCTGAGGGATCTGTGGTAATCTGCCCCCTCCACCACCACAGCAGGGGCCGTGTTTGTCGCCTGAGAGACCTGGGGATTCATCCAAGCTCTGTCACCGACTCTCCGCAAGTCTCAGTTTCCTCCTGAGGACAGTCCTGATGGTGGGGCCCGAAAGACCAGGGAGTGAGGACAATGAGCCTCTCTCCTGAGAAGCTGGCACGCGCCAATCAAAGTCTGGCTGTGAATGCAGACGTAAGTGTGATTCAGGCCCTGCATTCACAGAGACCTCACAGGCAGAAGGAACACCAGGCTTTCGGGGAAGGAAGGAGGGCAGGGAGCCGTCCTGTCTGGAGACATGTAGAGAGAGCATGAGTGGGCCTCAGGCCCTGGAGCTCTGTCAGGCCTGGGGACACAGGAGAGGGAGGAGTGGCTACAAGTGAAGGCTCCCTGGGAAAGGCCCTGGACACACCAGGGTGTCTGGAGTGAGCCCATGAGGAGCAGGGCCTTGTGAGGTGGCCTTTCAGGGCTTGCTGGGCATACCTGTAGGTAGGGGAGTGAGGCAAAGCATGTCAGGAGATGGTAGGCTGCACCAGAACAGGCACATGGAGGGATAAAGGTGTCAGAACGGTACTGGAGGCCTCTGGGCCAAAACGCCCAGGACCAGGTTGCTACCTAGAAAGAGAGAGGCAAGACCACATCCAGGTTCCAAACTGAAAAACTGGATAGTGAGCAGCCAGAGGCCCCTGAAGCAAAGAAGGAGATGAGCAAGTGTCCAGGGCTCCCAGGGTTTGTGCTGAGGAGGTCTGGACGCTGGGCGACCTTCCAAAGTGGGCACCCATTGAGACTGAGTGGGGTCAGCATGGGACTCAAGACACAGGCAGACCTAAGCCAGGCCCAGTGCTCCCTTCCTAGAGAAAAGGATGTTAAATGGGTCTTGGTCCAGTGGCCTCCCTCAGCCCTAAATGGCCTCGTCCTGCAGAAGATGCCAGACTGATCCACCCCAGGTGAGACAGTAAATCTCTTTCCAAGGTCAAACCCTGCCTCCACCCTGGAGCCCTTCTGCTTCCTTCTCAGCTGATGTAAAAGCAAATGGCGCTGGGTATGAGCCTTCCTCACATCAGCACAACAAGATGCTTAGTCAATCAAATAGCTGAGCCGAGCGAACGCAGCGTGCGGCTCCTCGAAGAGGGTTCTTTCCAGGGGAAATGTTATCATTTTCCATTCCTGTTTAATGAATCATGGGAATTACAGCAACATTACAAATGGCTCTCTGTACAGGCTATTACTTTGTTTCTGCAGGGTTCTAATGGCAGACCTGCTCCAGTGGGGGCTCAGTCTGCCCCCCCAGGCTACGGAGAACAGCGGCATTATTATAAGTGGTCCCTCTACAGGGATCTGCCTGGGAGGGATGGTGACCCAGGCCTCTCGAATTGAGTGCAGACCAAATCAAGTGGGACTCCCTCAGCAGCTGGTCGGGAAGTTTCTGGGGAGTCCTTTCAGGGACCCCAGAGTACAGGAAGATCCTCATGATGAAAGAGGGGGAGATAGGAAGGAAGTTGGGGAGCCTTCTGACCTGGAGGGTTGGAGGAGGGGCAGGGAACATGGCAGACTTGGTCTCTGAGAAGAGGGGTGTGGGTAGCAGACACTGACAGCCCTTACCAAGGCTGCCCCGAGTGCTGGGCTGGCTCCCGCCAGGGCAGATACCAGGAGCAGCTGAAGCAGAAAGGGGCGGGGGGGGGGGGGGGGAGATGCCCCTCATCCTAGCTCCAGGCCCTGAGACTCAGTCATCGCCCCTGCTTCGGCTGCTGGGTAAAGGAGATGTGCGGTGGACCCCTTGAGGACACAGTCTTTTCAGGTCAAATGCCGTCTGCCCATGTGCCTGGGTCCTGCTTTTTTCTGTTAAGTCGGCAGTCTGCTTTCTGTGTTGTCTATCAAGAACTAATGTGTATTTTATGGACTACTTTGATTATTGTCATAGGGCATTTGGGGGTGACTTGCTGGTTCACAACTCCATCCCACCCTAAACTACAGCTGATCACACACCTAACTCAGAGGAAGCCAAGGCTGTTCATTCAGCCCCTACTGTGTGAGATGTGAAAGAAATACTGTATCATTGGATAACTCCTGTATCTGCAGTGCTGGCATTCTGCCTGCCACACAGCAAGGGCTCAGTAAATATCAAATGGATGAATGAATGGCAGAGTGAATCTCTGAAGGATTTGGAATTTAAATTCTTTTCCTTTATTTTTATTTTATGTGGGTGGATGTTTTGCCTGTGTGTCTGTACACCACATGCATGCAGTGCCCATGGAGGCCAGAAGGGGGCATCAGATCCCTTGGGACTGACGTTACAAAGGGTTATGAGCTGCCCTGTGGGTGCTGGAAATGCAGCTGAAGTCCTTTGAAAGAGCAGCCGGTGTTTTAACCACTGAGCCATCTCTCTAGGCAAATTTGTAATATTTAGCCTGAAAACTCAGACTGGTTTATGGGAACTGAGTCACGTGAGCTGGAAAAGAGAACCCCTCTAACTCCAGGCTTCTTGGGGTTACTTCCGTCCTGCTGGAACCCTTCTGAACTTTGAGACACTGGCCCAGTAGTCCAACCCTCAAGCACCTGCCTCCCCTGAGCCCATTTCCATTAAAAGTCAAACCCTTCCCCAACATAAGGGATAGTTTTGCTTCCTGATACATGAATGTGTGCATGTGGGTGCGCGCGTGTGTGTGTGTGTGTGTGTATGTGTGTGTGTGTGTGTGTGTGTGTGTTTCTTAGAATCACATCCACTCGCACCTTGCCACACCCTGGATCTACCCACTGCTGCCATCAGTAGCCCCAATGGGCTCTGGATCTGAGATGTGGTGACCCAGGGCCAGGGAGGGCACATTCTTAGCTAGTGGCCCTTGAGGGCAGGAGGAAGAAGAGATATCGAGCTTCTTCTCCTTCCAGAGCCCTTCACTTGGCCCAGGCCTCAGATGTGGGCTCCTAGAACCCCATTCTCAAGTCATAGACGACTGCTATGGGACCCCAAGACCATGCTTGCCCACCATGACCTCATAAACTTCCCACTTACCAGGCAAAGGGGAGCGGGGGCCAGTGAATTCAAGAACCTGGGAAACTCCTACTTACAAGCTGAAGCAGAGGAGGCATGCTCACACCTTCCGTCCACCAAGGCTGCTCTCTGCCTGGCTGGATCGACTCTTTCTTCTGTTCCTCCCGCCCTCGCCCCAGGTGCCCGGATACTAATTATAATGACCCGGTGAGTTACAAGACGGTGAAATTGCTTCCACCTGAGGTTGTCACGGGCTAGGAAGAAATACCAGGGATGGAAATTAAACTGTGCCAGCAGGCTTGTAGGGGCGGGAGCAGGAGGGAGGACGGCTCGGGTGGGGAGCGATACCTACAGCTTTGAGGTGGGGTTTGTGGCGTGCCAGTAAGAAGCATTGTCCTTGGGCAAAATAGAAAAGATTAGATGCTGCTCACCTGCTGCTGGTCGCTGGATTCAGAGTGCCCCAACAGAAGGTGAAGTGACCAAGAACAGACAGAAGCCCTGTGGCTGCCTAGAGACCCAAAAACAGAAGGGACATTAGGCCGCTGTTGTGGAGGGTGGCTTGGGGCAGCCCAGCTCCCCAGAGAGGGAGGAGAGGCAGTGGAGAGCGGACCCCAGCCAGCCTCAGTAGCCTACCTCACAGCCTGAGGACATTCTCACTGGCAAGCCCAGGCCTTTGTTCCTGAGCTGTACACTCCCAAGCAGCTCTGCACTGACCTTTTCATTTGGAAGGCTGCCAGGCTGCCTAGCTTACAGTCCCAGGATTTGGGGAGGAAGGACCTGGGAAGCCCTGGCTCTGAGATCTAGGGTAAATTTCCCTACTGGACATCTGCAAAAGTGATGGAGCTTTGTAAGTCACTGAGACCTACCAGCAGTAGGGTGAAGTTGGGACCTTCAAGTGGATCTCTCCAAGAGATGTTTAAAATGTTGAAAGGCATTGGAAAAGAAGGGAAGTTTCTAAATTCTGTTCATAAAGTGAGTACAATATTAACGATAATGTCACTGCCCAACTGCAAGAACATGCTAGCTGCCCTCCCTCCCTCTCTATCCCTCCCTCCTTCTCTCCCCCCTCTGTTTCTATCCTTCCCTCTCTCCTCCCTCTCCCCCCTCTCTTACACACACACACACACACACACACACACACGAGAGAGAGAGAGAGAGAGAGAGAGAGAGAGAGAGAGAGAGTCAAATAGCAATCTGACTTATGAATTTCACTGGAACAAATCTAAATGAAATAGTAACAGAATCCTGCAGCACAGAAGAAAACACAACCATGAGCCACTGGAGCCAAAGAAACGCTCTGCAGGGCAGAGGACATGGCTCAGTGGGTAGCGGGCTGGCCTGTCATGCATGGGGCCCTGGGTTCACAGAGGGCTTGTCTATTACACACGGGGCCCTGGGTTCATTTCCGTTATAATATTGTGCTAGGGGAACTTTGGTGGATTCCATGACAGGCAAGGGACAAACATGCCTGGCAGACAGAGCTTAAGTGAGAAGTTTTATTAGAAAGGGAAGGAAGGGGGGAGGGAAAGGGGAGAGAGGGGGGAGGGAGGGAAAGTCCTGTCTGCCCCTTCAGAGGAACAGCAGGGAAGAGAGCAGCAATGGGTGGCATTTTCCTTTTAAAGGGTCTTTCGCACCTGTGTGCAGACTATGTAGTGACACGGTAGCCACAGAGCCCAGGGTACTGTCTCCAGTGCACTCTGCCAGGATAGAGGGGCAGCCAGCACAATGCCTGAGTGCTTGCAACCCATCACCACATAAACTACGTGCAATCTCACCACTTGGGAAGCAGAGACTGGAGGGTGAGAAGTTCAAGGTCATCCTGGACTATACATGGAGCTCAAGGCAAGCCTAGGTTACATGAGACCCTGCTTGGGAGGGAGGGAGGGAGGGAGGGAGGGAGGGAGGGAGGGAGGGAGGGAGGGAGGGAGGGAGGGAGGGAGGCAGGCAGGCAGGCAGGCAGGCAGGCAGGCAGGCAGGCAGGCAGGCAGACTAGGAGGTATCAGAAAAGCTGGTAACTTACATTAGAGGATTTAAGCATAACTCATCTGCATACAGTAGCCATTCTTAATTTTTAAAAATTCTTCCTAAAATAAAAACAAGTAGCTACTTCTGATATGATATATGATGCATATATATTAACTTGAAATGAAGAAATATTAAAAGTATTCTCATTAAAGTTAGGACAAGACTAGGGCACCCAGTATCTCCACCCTTCCCTTCCCTCTACAAGTACATACACTGTAAGTACTAGCTAATGCAATAAGATAAGAAAAAACATTGGGCCACATACCAAACCACTCTTATACTTCAGTTTAGGACTTTTGACTTCACAGTACAGCAATGGCCATGTGAATCCACTAGGAAATGTATAGATTTTGTGTATAGAGCTCCTGGACTGATGATCTGTGACAGGATATTTTCTTGCAATGCTACACAGTGGCCTGAGCGGCAGCTCCCAGTTACTCACGTGATCCCAAGAGTAAACAACTCAAGCTCTGTGTGTACTATGCTGCTGATTATGATATGAGATACACCAAGTATGGCACTATAAATCAATTTTTACTTATCTATTTTCAGCTTACAGTGAGCTTATCAAGATGTAAGCTGAGAAGTATCTGTCTAGAGATTGCTGAGTCGTGTCAGTTGGCTTTCCAGCACGATGGCAAGTCACTTGAGATGATTAACTTATAAGCAGGAATGATTCTGTCTTAGGGCTTCAGAGATTTCAGTCTGTGATCACTTGGTCCCTTTGCCTTGTATACGTAGCAAACGGGATATCATGGTAGCAGTGTTGGGCAGGGTAAGAAAAGCTGCGTACATCATGGTGACTGGGAGTCCCAATATACCCATCAAGGGCATTCCTCGATGAGTTACTTCCTCCAACCAGGCCGCACAAGCTGGAGCACCCACCGCTTTCAATACATCACCAACTGAGGCCCAGTGTCCAACCATGAGCCTTCGGGGAAAAGTTTACATGCAAATTAGAAAAGTAAAATTAGTTATTATTGCCAGAAGACAGGAACATATCCATGCTGTAACCAAAAGAATGGGCTGACACATGACTAACAAGAACATGGAAATTTAGTAATAATGACCAGCTTCAAATTAATATGCAAAAAATCAATGGCCTCCATATTTTACAATGACAGCCAGCTGGAGCATGTAATAGGAAAACAGATGACATTTACAATTGCAACCAAAAAG